ACTTTAAGCAGATGGAAAAGTTGAAAAGTTACACAATCTCTCTGACAATGCTTGCTCTTATAGCCTAATGAAAACTTTGCTTGAATAAAATTAATTGAACACTAAAAACTGATTGCTATGCAACTATTATACTATGACTTTAACAAACACTGTTGAAACGATGTTTAACACTGGAAAGTGGTGAAAATTAACTTTTGCAGAAAAAAAATCATTTCAATGGATTCTCATTTTATCACTGGGCTGTTAGATTATTTAGTTTCTGTAATAATTATTTTTTACCACTTTCTCACTACTTGTTATGTTTTACGCACTTCACAGAATATTACCAATGTTGTACACAGAATCAAGGGCTTCATTTGAACCAGATACATTGGGTCGTACATTGTTACTATCCATCCCTCAACTTGTTGCATTGAGGCAAAAATTATTCTTTCTTTACTTGAATTTCCCTTCCTTCATCACTACCATTCACATCAGAGTTGACAGACATTTGCGGTTTCATATTTCCTACATGAAACAAGATAAAAAGTCAATGTTAATGGTGAACTTAGGAAATGAATGTTCACCAATGAAAACAAAAACATTTCAATCAAGGTTACACCTAACTCTTGGGTTTCAAAGAGAAATGAAAAACCTTGCCATTTTTAATATCTGCTTCTTACTTTTTAGCTTCTAAGTGCATGTTTATGACTATTCACACAAGATGTTTTAATAGTCACTTAATTGTCCAGTAACTACAGTGTATGCAGGGCAGGAAAAAACCCAGGTTCAATTGCCTGGGGCAAGTAAGTTTTGATCTTGGGCAAGCAAAAAGCCCATTGGGCAAGTGAAATAAGCCTCAGTGGTCCTGTGAGTCTGTTTGAAAGTGTTAGCTTAGTAGATGATTTCCAGACAGAAACGGTTTCAAAACTGAAAACTGCAAGATGATTGACACAGTTAGTTTTCTCTATTCTTTTTAATAATAATAATAATAATAATAATAATAATAATAATAATCTTTATACAGGGAGCTCACTTCACATAGAGTGATATTCAGTGAGGCCCTGTAAAACAATAGAAAAATAAATGATCTAAGATAAATGTAAATATGAATGGTAATAAAAAAGTAAAAAGTTAAGACCTAAAAACTTAACTAATATAAGCTACAGATTAAAAAAATGTTAAAATGTCAGATAGATTAAAATATTAAAAGCCATAAATATCTTAGCCTCCCCGCAGACGTCCTTTGGGGTTCGTTTGTCACGCATTCATTTCTCCCCCACGGACGTCTGCTAAACACAGCCGACATTTACGTTCACCAATCAGAGGCCGTTTACGGATTTTTGTAAAACGTAACCCGAGCCGCTTCTTAAGATTCGCACGATCAGTGAGGCTTTTGATCCGAGTGTGTGAGAAATTTGTAATTAATACAGAGTTAAACAAGTATCAGAGAGAAGCTATCCTGCAAATTTAATAACGAAGACCGAATTGTGTTCATAAATTTGCCGACGGGATTTGGCAAATCCCTTATCTATCAAGCTTTGCTGCTTGTTTGCGACACAGTGCGTGGAACTACCAGGATGAACTACTGGACATTATTGTTGTTGTTGTTTCTCCCCTGGTAAATCTACAAAGCTGGAAAATATTGGTATTCCTGCTGTAACGCTCAGTGATATTANTGTAACACTCAGTGATATTAGCAAAGAGAATATGAGGGTTGTCGAGAGAGGGACTTTCTCTGTTGTTTACGGAAGCCCAGAAGCTTGGTTGAAGATCGATCGGTGGAGGAAATGTTAGCGAGTGACTTGTACAGTTAGTATGTGGTCCTTGGTTGGCGACTTTCCCAAGCATGATTAAATATTTTTTTCGTCGAGAAATAAAATACAATGAACAATGAATGGTTCAGTGTTTTATTGATTATAAGCATTCTTTCTTTCTTTGAAGGAGCGAGATTAAAGTTTGTTGACAGGTAGGTTAATTTGTCGTTCTAGCTTGAAGTTTGGACTCGGCGGCACTGTGGTCATGTTTACTTAGCTTGTGAATAAATAAAACGCAACAGGAGGACGTGCCTTTTTGCAGAACAAGTTTTCAGATAAACCTTTTTCTGCCGTTGGAAGCACATTGCTGTAGACTTCGAATTTTTTGTTTTACCGACTCTTGAAAAAATATAACCAAATTTTGCGCACTGGTCCTTGGTCCGCGACCCATGCTTTATTGCATCGTTTCTGTGATTTTTTCAAAACGTTTGAGTCGTCTCAGGTAGAAGATAGCCGTGCAAATAAATAATTCACTTGAGAATACAGAGACATCCCTTATATCACAGCGCGTGATTGGCTGATCGTGACACAATAACTAACCGCTTATTGGCTTATTCAAACAATCCAGAAGGTAAATGTCGGCTGTGTTTAGCAGACGTCTGTGGGGGAGAAATGAATGCGTGACAAACGAACCCCAAAGGACGTCTGCGGGGAGGCTATAAATATCTAAAATATACAGCTTTTAATGCTCTGTTTAAAAAGAAGAGAGTTAATTTCTTTAAAAGATGCATCTAAAAAGAGCATTCAATTATCAAATTGTAGTCAAAATAAACCAAACCGAATCTGATTTTTGAGATTTTAAAATCAAAGTTTGTTCTAAACCTGGGTTACCTTAACCCAGCTTTGAACAACTCGGCCCTGGGCCCAGTTGTTCGAATGCCGGTTAGCGCTAACCCGGGGTTTAACCCGGGTTTCTTTTTCTTTTTATCAAAAGCACTCTCTCGGATAATAATATTTTCTCTCTTCTTTTTAGAGTATCCAATCATCAAATTATAGTCAAAGTGAATTTAACTGAATTGGCTTTTTAAGCTGCCATAACTGAGTTCAAATTTCACATTGACCTGGGGTTACCTTAACCTAGCTTAGAACAACCCGGCCCTGGTCTTTTGAAATCAGGTTTACAAAGAAAACAAGATCAATTTGGCCGTTGTCCATTTACAGACCATTATGAGCTCTTTGAGGATGCAACGTACCTGGATTTTCTTCGAGAGATTTTACTGCACTTGACCGATCCAAACCAGATGGAAGCAGTGCCTTTAAAGCATTATTTGCTGCCTCCTCCCTGGAAGCATCTACAGTTAATCCTGAACCATAACATGTAAGAGGTGGAATGGAGGTCACTGTGACTAGAGTCAGATACTCTCTCTCCTGGAAAGTGTAAAGAATAAGGAACAGATATACACCTGTAACAAGAACCCTGGGGCAGGGTTGTCACTAAGGGCCGGGGGCCGGGGATTTCCCCCAGCTACTCAGAGCATGGCCCCCGGCTACTTTCGTCGTTAAATTAAACCAAAAGAGCACACCTTTAAAACACACAAAGACTATCCATCAAACTAAATGCGAGTTTCATCTGCAGCAGGTTTAAGTAATCTGAAATACTTAAGTCCAAAAACTAAGAAACGTCGGAAAAAGACATCTGACTTAGATTTGGTACTAGTGCACACGCGCGAAAACTCTCCATTCGTGAAATTTCAGTAGGGAGTTTTAGCAACAACGACGGCGACGGGGAAGGAAGCTCCATGACTGCTTGCAACTTCCCCGGCTACTAATAACAAATACCCGGCAACTTGAAATCTTAGTGACAACCCTGCTGGGGACAAGGTTTTGTATTGTTTTGCTAGAGCTGTAGAAAATGGCGGCAAAAATCTCACAAGCTTTGTGAAGACAAAATAGCCAAACTACTGCCTAAAAAGGTAGCAAGGACAGCAAAAATACAACTTTATGGATGACTATGTTAAAGAATATCCATGAGACTACACATCCCTTTATATGCTGAATTTGCCAAGGAACATGCAAATAAAGAGGGGAACTTAACATTGAACAAGATAAGCATATTTTAGCATAGTTTTAAAACTGTGAATAGTTCATTATTATTCATTCAAAATAATAGTCTGACAGGGTGTCATCTGTAAAGGCCAAGAACGAACTCCTTGGTCTGTATAATTCTTCAGCATTAGCATTAGCAATTAGCATTTCACTACTTAGTCAAACATTAAGTCACAAGAGAGAGAGAGAGGAAAAAAAAGATAAATAAAAGATCACCTGACTGTAAAAGTTGCACAAGTACCATAGGAAATGAGAGAAGGAGAACACAAAGTGGAGAATACGCATGTAGAAGTATGCATGTTTAAACTTCGTATGATCTAAGCGCGATGGTAGAAGATGATAATTGAATGAACTGCATTCTTTGTAACCCATAACAGAATGAAATTTTCCAGACTGGATTTCTATTTAAGGCAGTTTTTTAAATCTAGGCTTTTAGTACCAAAAAGGCTTTGGATCATTTACTAGTTAATAGGTTTTCTTAGTTATATTGTTAACTGTCCCCAATTAGAAGAGGGGTATTACCCTAGGCTAGCTACTAAGACACGTTAACAAAGTTTTGATGTCAGATGATGATTGATGAAAAGTTTAAGGCTAAGGCTAATAAACTAACCTTAGGGTAGTCAGTGAATTGTACTCTTAATCCTTCTACTTCAGCTAGATGCAGCAGCTTCTGGACAGACGTTAACACAGCAGGTGTTGTCTTGACAACAGGAGCGCCTGGAGCACGGTTTAGCCCTCCTTGTAATGTGGGCTCCTGAAAAATAAAGATCATGTAACTCAAGGAGGTAATTTTCATACTATAGGAAAATCACCTTATAATCTAAGAAATCCCCTTGAAGAAGAAAAATGGGTAACACTCTGAAACAAAATTGACACCATCCACTGGTGATGTTTAATCGGCATTTTACATGCCCGGAGTAGTCAATCAATAAAAACAGGTATCGATTTGTCAATTGATAAATCGATAAAAATCAGTAAATCTGATTTGATTGATATCGATTGTATCAATCAATTGGTAGAAATCAATGACACACTCGTTTTGTTTATTGATTTATCTTGATTTTTACCCATTTCATTGATTCATATCAAAAGAAATATCTGTTCATCTGTTCATCAAAACATAAAAACTGAATTCATGCAAGCAGTAAATTTGTTGACAATTGAGTGGCAATTGAAGGTCACGCAAAGGGTCAAACATTTATCACTATATTGTTTATCACACATTACAAACATCTTATCTTTTCTTTAAAACCAGGTTCAAAATCTTCTTCTGATGGCTAATATTGGCCAGGTCTGTTAACTATCTTTGCACCTTCCTACAAGCCACATGATTATCCAGTAAAATCTTATTGGCTCACATTTATAGCTCAATGCACCATAACTATGCTGTTGACAGGTTAGCACCTGAGGGGCAGCAGACGACTTGTAAAGTAAATGTATAAGGAGCACCTTTTGCTCCTCTATCAAATTTTGCACTTCCCCCTCCCCCCTGAAAAAGAAGACAAAAGAGAATGCCTGATTACAGGTTTATTTACCTGAGGTTCATGCTTCACTTGTGCAATGGGAGCAACTACTGCATTCATCATGTCTGATCGAGTCTGTTTGGCGAGTTCAGGGACCATAGGCAGCAAACCTGGCTTTAGTTGACGGCCTAGGATGGTGACAGGATGGCTGCCAGGTTCTGTACCATTGAATGAGGCTTTCTGATCACCATTAGTTTTCTCTGCACTCGACGATTTGTCTCCCTTCGGAGAAAAGGATGGCATAAGGGCATTTACAAAAGAAAATCAACTTTGGTTAAAAGAACCGAAACAGTGACTACATCCATTAAAATCAGTCTATTGACATGCGTGGTGCTTTTTTTCAAATTATGCTCAAAAGTCACATCCCTACCTTGAGCAAGAAAGCTACAATAATATTATTTTATAAACTTAAAGTTATTTACAGGCCCAGAGACAAAAATAATTAATTTTCAACCCTCATTTTCAAAATAGGGCCAAGTAAAAAACCTTTCAAGAGACAAAAAGGTTTATTTGCTTACTAGAAAGAAAAATTTTGTATGAAAGTTTTTGCCCAAAGTCCTGTGTAGAGAAAGTAAAAAATAGCCTATTCCCTCTAAGGGACTCTTGACCTAACGTCACATTCTCTCTGTTTCAAAAAACAATACAAATATAATGATTTGTGAGAAGAGACTACCAATGATCACAGGACACTTAAAGCTTTTCGCCAGGCACTAGTTCAATATATAGAGGGCTCTGTTCTGTTAAAAAAAAGGCCTTTACAACCCAAGAACCATCAGCATGAAATTTCTCCTTACATCATGAGAATAAGAACATGATCACAGAAGACAAATTAAATTTATACTTACACAACTTCTCTTTACTATTTCTATTGGAAATGTGTGTAGAAAACAACTAAGAATTCAAATTTTGAAACTAGGGTTTAAAAGGGTAAAGATAGGTTACCTGAGCACTAGCAGACTTTCCCTCACTGGAACGAAAGCCTATCAACTGCAGCATAGCTTCAGAAGCTTTCTTCTTGGCTTCCTTCTTGTTTGGACCAGCTCCTGTTGCCTTATGTTGCCCCACAGTCACTTGCATGGTGAATTCTCGCTGGTTTGCATTCACTTTCTCATGAAGAAGCTCATAAACTGGTGGTTGCTCGTGTCTGCGCTGAAGAATCTGTCCAAGGATGCTAACAGGATTCATAGATGGGTCTATTTCCCCCTTTGCCTGCTTGTCCTTGGAAATACGTGGACCACGGCGCACAAACCGGCCAGCATTCCTGTAGCTTGTCTCTTGTGCTGGTAGCTCTGGAAGCTTTTTCAGTTCTTCCAGCATTTTCTTTGCTGCCTCTTGCTTGGCATCTTTCTTTTTACAGCCTTCTCCTGTAGTGACAAATTCACCAACAGTGGCACTCACCACAAAGCGTTTCATATGGGGAGGACCACTGCTCTTGACATCTTCAAACCCTACCTGGAGTTTCCGTTTAGCTGCTATTTCATATACTTTACTTATCTCTGATTTCATCTCAGTTGTACTGCCTTTGGTCACATCCTCAGACTGTGATGCATTTCCTTCACCATTTTGAACATTAGCTGGCTCATCTGCCTTCATGGTCGAGTTTTTCTTCTCTCCCGCAGCAGCCAGCTCTTCTTGCAAAACTTTCACAGCCTTTGCCGCAGCACTTTTGCGTGCAGACTGCTTGTCACGCCCTTCACCATAAAATTCCTGATCTCCAACCACCAGCTTAACACAGCTGATTCTTGGTACACGTGGCGGGGCAGAACGGGGGTGATACCCATTTTGGATGTAAGGGGGAAAATGCTGCTCCTGGCCAGGATGGGACATCCCATAGTGGGTTCGAGCATGCAGTGGCCCTCTGTGATGAACCCCAGGTATCTGGTGTTGCATCTGAAGGTTTTGGTAACCGATATTAACAGGTCGTTGGTACGATGGAATCTTCGGTTGTAAATCATGGTACTGAGTCAGCTTGCCAAGTTTCATAGCCAGCACGTTCAGCACAACAGTGGAGGTTACATTCACTTGTGGAACAAGAGGCTTCTCGACTTCTGGCTTGCACAGACCACACTTTTCCAATCCAACAGTTGCAGCCGCATGTCGAGCACTTCTGATGCTTGTTCCCTGGCCATCCCACTTTCCCACGTCGCCCAAAGTCAGTTGAACGGTGAACGTTCGCTTGTGAGCCGGTCCACTCTCTTCGATGACTTTGTACTCGGGGTTAAGTTTGTTCGCTTTCGCAAGCTCGTTCATCAGGCTAACCGGCGTTTTCTGTGCCATTGCGAAGGTTCCAGAACTTGAAGAAGCAAATTTCAGAATATGATTGTCAAAGACGAAGATGAAAGATGATCCTGGGGTAGTTTGTCGACGTTGTGAATAATAAATTACTTTGAAATATGGCCGACTCTCTACAAAAGGGTCAAAGTGTATTGGTTGGAATTACCGCTAACTTCGGTGGGGAAATTAGTGGTAATAACAAAAAGAGGAAAAAGAGGAACTGAAAGGTTGTGTAGTCGAGGAGAAACGTGAGGAGACCCCACACTTTTGAAGAAATTTGTTTTCTTTCAAAAGTGGACTAAATCGCCGGACATGAGGTCTGCTCGCCTTTGCGTCACTCGGAAGGAAGTAATATCCCAGCAAGCCTTTGGTGCACAGGGACACGCCAAGTTTATTGCTAGGGAGGGGAGGGAGGTCTGCAACACAAACCACGGGAAGTGGTACTTTTTGGAAAGATTGAATCATTTCAATTTGTGTCATCTATATCTAAAATTATCTAAATGTCTGATTTGCAAAGGACAGTGCGGCCCATCTTCAGCAGATATGTGCTGTGCTCGTCCTGTGTGGCATAAAAATTAGTGCGGTGAATTTGTGTTGGTGATATAAAAATAAAAAATGTTCAAATGTTCAATGGCGCCTGGCCTGGGGCCCGTTTCTCGAAAGTCCCGGTGACTTTTCGGGCCCGAAAACAAATATTCAAATCTAAATATAAAGAATAAAAGCGCGGGACCTGGCTAGCAAACTACTACATTTTGTTTCATTAACTGATAGTTTTATCACGTTAGATGCAAAACTATTGAAACCTCCGTCTTGCATGTAAACAACAACAGCTTTACGGGCCCGTTAATTATCGGGACTTTCGAGACACGGGCCCCTGGGCCCTCAAGGCAAGCTTGAAGACCTCTGTGTTGGCAGCTTCAAAAATTGATTCGGGAAGTTCATTCCATTCGTGGGAAAAAAGCTTTTTTTTCATATATATCGGTCCTGCAACCAGCATTTACAAATTTAAGTGGGTGGTAATTTCTTGTTTGGCGTTCCTTCTGTTTAAAGTAATTTGGAATTTCTACTGCCGGGTGCCAGTTACGATCTTGTACAAGTTTGTTAATCTTGTTTGTTTCCTTCTCTGTTCCAGTGATGGCCATTTTAGCTCCTCTAGTAAACTTGCGACGGTACCCGGCGTGCGCTGAGTGCACTTCTTAACAAAACGAGCCCGGGGGGAGTACTTTAGGAATTTCTGGGTGGGGATGTGCCGCTGGGACCCTGGAACCCTTAACCTATACCAGAGCTAGTTCAACTGAATTTTGCTACCCTATACTAGAGTAAACTCCCCAAATCCCCCCTATCCTAGAGTAGCTGTTTCCCTAGTCTAGATAAATCTTCAACCAACTGATCAGTTTCCTGAAAGATGATACCCTATTCTAGACCCAAACGCTCTGATTTATATACCCTATCCTAGAATAAACTGATTGAAAACCATACCCTTCACAGCGGCACATACCTATATAGCCCATATATGGCAGTACCCCCCCCCCTTCCCCCCGGGAAAACAAGCCGCTCTGCGCTGGACTATCTCAATTGATTGAATGTTCTTCTGTGTATGTGGGTCCCACACCGAGCATTCATGCTCCAAGTAGGGTCTAACTAAAGAATAGTACGCCTTATATAGATTTCTTCTCAAGAAGCCGAGGGAAGAGTTCACTTTCCCTGTAATAGCAGAAATATGTTCATTCCATGTTAATTTGCTATATATCTAATTCTACACACAGATACTTGTGTTGTGTGACTGATGTTATGGGCTGTCCCATTGAAGTATAGTTGTAGTAAACACTTACTGGCATTGAAAGCCATCTGCCATTTCTCTGACCAGACTACCAATTTGTTGAGGTCACTTTGAAGCACCTCGGCACTGCTAATCATGTTAACAACCCCATATAGGACGCTGTCATCTGAAACAGTCCCAATTCTGAGGTTATTTGAAGACCAATGTCATTGATGTACAGTAAGAACCTTAGTGGTCCCAGGACGGTGCCCTGTGGAACTCCTGATGTTACAATCACTGGAGAAGACTGTGTACCATTAACAACAACTGTCTGAGTTCTTCCGCAAAGCCAGGATTCTATCCATTTGATCAGCTGTCCACCGATTCCGTGGACAACGTGCTTTGAAAGTGAGATTCTGAACAAGTGACAACAAGTTTTCCCCATATAATTCACATATGTTAAAAGTAGAAAAAATTGGCACTGCACGAAAACGATACAATTGTCCAAAACCGGTGCAGTTAGTTGTGTTTATATAAAAACTACCAACCACAAGTCCATAAAAAAACAAGAGAAAAAACTAGACTTGAAAACGATCTCCAAGAACCCCAGTGTGAAATAAGACAGGATCTAAGTTCACGCAGAATTGTTTCTAGCTGAAGAAAATTCTTTGGTGGGACCATTTCAGTGAACCCTTTAGGTCAGTTCTTTCCTATGGAACAGTTTATTTTTCTTGAGTAAAAATTCTGAATTTTTCATGAATGTTTTTTAAAAAGTCAACGGTTATGAAACTGCTAATAAAAGTTTATTTCCGCTCATCGTAAAAATACAAAGCTTCAAGATGTTTCTTTTTTCATCGATTCATGCATTGTTTAAATTCAAAGTAGACTGCTGTCAATTCTCTGAACGTTGTCACGCCTTCTTTCCAAAGAAAGACACTGACAGTCGCAAAAGTTTTCGCAAATGGAGTCACCCCAAACAGAAAAAAACAAACGCAAGCTTGGTGAGTCTTTAAAAGGTCGTTCTTTATCAGTTTCCTTGTAATTTTATTTTTGACAAACTGGTAAAAACAATATTAACAACTGAGATCTCTCCTAACAAAGATAATTACATAAAAAAACTAAAATAGAGACATCAAACGGAAACATACACTACGATTTTTGCCGATAAGCTTGAACCTGCAAGTTTAGCGGATTTACTGAACATATTAGAAGAAATAACTTATTAACCCTAACCCAATTGCTATTGGATAACGAATTTTGTGCGAATTTATCAAACAATTTGGAGTAAACATAAGCTAACATAACACTGGATACCAAAAGTGATTGCATAACTAGATTTTGTGCTTCTGTCGTGATATACTAGGCAAGCAAAATAATTACTCTGATTTCACGTTACTCGAGTCATATCGTAAGAAGGTTGAATATCGCCAATGTGAGTGCAGTTCTGGATGTACTAAGTCCTTGCCTAGTCCCTGTACTCGTTGTACGGCGTACACGGACTTGAAGAGTCTTCTCTTACACATTGGGTGTGTTGTGTGCACAATGCTAAAGTGGGCTTCCTGTGCAAGCGCGCGTTCGCCCATATACACAAGGGTTGGCAACTCCATCGGTTTATCATCTTTCCTTACGCATGGGGCTCCGCTCACTATATATTCGACGCGTGTGTCAGCTCTACATAAATAAATTACACAAGTAAGTTATGAGTGAGCCTTTTCGATCACTTCCTGGAGTCTACCCTTCTCGACCAGTTCAAAGATTCCTTTGGTGAACTGAACAAACAGTCTTTCCATATAATTGGTTCCTTCAATTCCAGCGCCTTCCACAAAGCCAATGTGACCACCATATGACGTGAGTACCATGGCAACCAGCGGATTCTCGGCTAACGCATCTAGAGGGATCGCTGTTCAATGGGAGCAAAAGAAAGCAAATTTGTCATTACGATCTTACCTGGATAGTTTACAGTCCCGAATTCACCCCCGGGGGTACTTTAGGAATGTGTGGATGGGGACAAGCCGCTGGGATACCGGACCATTACCTTATTCCAGACCTAGTTCAGCTGAATTTTGCCACCCTATACTAGATTAAATTCCCCAAATCCCTTCTGATGCTAGAGTCGATGTTTTCCACAAAAGAAATTACCGAGGTCGATGCTGTCTTTGCTATTAAACTGAGTTGCGGGTAAATTGAGATTTGCCAATTTAATGTTTTTGAGTGTCAGTGAAACGACAATTATAACTGTGAAAAAAGAAGGATAGAAACGCGCAAATCACATTTACAATCTTCATAGCCAATAACATTACGCTTTAAGTGACAGACGACCAATAACATCGCAACTTAATTGACCAATCAGGTCAATAAACAGAGTTAAATACCATCAACTGACGAGACACAACTCACTTTAACTGTGGAGATGACTGCCGCATTGGTTGTCGAAACGGCAGTCACTGTCAACAACAGTCCTATTCGGGACTTCACTCACTCGGACGATGATGTTCCACCTAATTATTAAAGTTATTGTTTTGTACTATGGAGTAGCTTGCGAACGTAGATGCATTTCCGGCTGTCGTTTCTGTCACTTTTTACGAGAAAAGCAAAGACCAGAAATGGAAAGCGTACATAACTTGCACCACCCCTCCCCCTCCTCCTTCCCCCTCCCAAACTCCATCTCTTCAAATTCTCTTTAACCCGTTAAGCCCCAGTATCCACATACAAATTCTCCAAACTGATCTCCATACATTTCCTTTAAGAATTAGCTGAGAGAATTTAATAAAACATCATGGTATTTTCTCTTTGGTGATCATTTCACTAATTCTCATAACCTAATCTCTTGACGATGTATGGATATCGTTAGGAGAAAATTGACGTTAGTCACTATTGGGACTTGAAGGGTTAAATGAGCCCTCACTCACCATGCAGAGGAGAAAATGGATCATCAGCGGCATTCAAGCACAGCACAGGTACTCTTATTGTGTGCAGTGGTTTGGTGTGAAGAGTCGCAGCACTGTAGTATTCCTCATAGTTACGATAACCAAATGTTGGAGATGTAAATCTGTCATCAAACTCGCGTATGGTCCTTGACTGCAAATATAACATCCTACGGTATGTCTTAGTATGTAACTATGTTTATGTTAAACTATACACAGCGAGCAGTCTCTTATTTTTCTCTTGAGAGACGGTAGAATGCGAGCACAAGAAACGAGGGCTCGCGCGGGTTGCGTTCAGCGAAGCTGTGAGAAACTAGGGCGGAGCCCGAGCAAAGAAAAACTAGTTAAACTAAGGCAATCACCAGGGGGAGTACTCTAGAGTTAAAGTGNGGATCATCAGCGGCATTCAAGCACAGCACAGGTACTCTTATTGTGTGCAGTGGTTTGGTGTGAAGAGTCGCAGCACTGTAGTATTCCTCATAGTTACGATAACCAAATGTTGGAGATGTAAATCTGTCATCAAACTCGCGTATGGTCCTTGACTGCAAATATAACATCCTACGGTATGTCTTAGTATGTAACTATGTTTATGTTAAACTATACACAGCGAGCAGTCTCTTATTTTTCTCTTGAGAGACGGTAGAATGCGAGCACAAGAAACGAGGGCTCGCGCGGGTTGCGTTCAGCGAAGCTGTGAGAAACTAGGGCGGAGCCCGAGCAAAGAAAAACTAGTTAAACTAAGGCAATCACCAGGGGGAGTACTCTAGAGTTAAAGTGACGGGGATGATCGAAAGGAGGCAAAAATAACCCCAAAAAATCCCATACCGAGGGTTAAAATTTTCCAAAAGATGGAAATTGAATGTTTGAATGACACGACATGTAAGTAATTACCAGTACGAAACTTGAATTGAATGAACACAGTACCTTTAATACATGATGGATATCAAATGGCAGATTCCCCAAATGACTTTCAAACACCTCCAGGTTACTAAAAGGAGACATATAAAGCCGTTATGTTTGGCCATACCACACTGTTACCGTAACAGCTATTTTTCAGTATAATTATTGTGCTGATCATACAATGAACTCTCTCCATGTTGAATACTGGTAGGTACCCTTCGTGCCGCCTTGGGGCCTTCTATAAATAGAGAGTTATACGTTCTATGATCTTCGCTTTACTCTTTGGATGAAATCTTATGCTGTGAACATTCCAATGCAACCCAATCAATCATCAAATGGTACTATTTGTTTCGTATGTTGTCCTAACTTTTGAGTCTATCCTATGGTGTGACCATTCAAATGAAACCTCTTCAGCAGTACTTTCACATGGTGCTATTTATTTAGTATGTAGTTCTAACTTTTGAATCTGTGGACGAAATCCTATGGTGTGACCATTCAAATGAAACCTCCCCAGCAGTACTTTCACATGGTACTAATTATTTAGTATGTAGTTCTAACTGTTGAATGTGTGGACGAAATCCTATGATGTTACCGTTCAAATGAAACCTCTTTAGTAGTACAGTCAACTCTCTCTTAGACGAACACCTTTGGGACCGGCACTAGCTGTCTGTCTTAGAGAGATGTCCGTCTTATAGAGAGTCAAATAGAGGGAGCAAAGAAAGGCAGGGACCAAATCTGAGTGTCCGTTTTACATAGGTGTCCGTCTTATAGAGGTGTCTGTTAAGGGAGAGTTGACTGTACTTTCACATGGTACTATTTTTTTAGTTTGTAGCTCTAACTTTTGAGTCGGTGAATGAAATCCTGTGGTGTGATCACTTCAAACGTTAACGAAACCTCTTCACCCGACGTGCTTTCCTATTGTACTATTTTTTTTTTAACAAAATCCTGTGATGTGACCATTTAAAAGAAACTCCTTCTGCAGAAAATTCACATAGACATGTACAGTGGAATGGCCTGCTCTACGGACACCCACTTACTACAGACACTTGTATATAATGGATAGTTTCGCGACACTGAAAAGTCTCAAATTTTCTCTAAAAATAACCCGCTAAATACAGAAACCCGGATAATACGGACACAAAGGCATGCCCCCTTAATGTCAGCATCAAACTTCTCCTTGTAATATCAATGCTCTGTAAAACAGAGTGGTCATGAGAATTACAGACATGATCACACAAGATGAATTTGCTCGATATGTTATCAACTTCTCCCCACTACTTCTGTTCGAAATGAATAGGGGCAACAAATGAGAATGCAAATTTAAAAGTTAGCACTGTTATCGATATTGAAGGAGGTTGAGACCTCTCCCAATTGCAAAATGCTAAAACTTCTAACATTTGATAACTCACCACTACGGCTAAAACTCGTAGTAGGGACCTTAAGATCCGAGGACGGCGACGGCAGAAAAAACGTCGCTGAAAAAGTGAATTCGCGTTCTTTCAATCTTCATCGCGATTACTCCAAGTCACTAACTTCGTCAAATGTAGGCGAACCCTCCTAAAGTTGAATTCCTAAGAACCATATTCAAGTTCAGAAAGAGAGAGGAAATTTCGACGTCGCTTGTGTACTTCCTCTGTACATCGTGAAATTATTAGGCATTTTCACGTCGTAGTCTTGCAGTGACCGCAAAGAAATGTATAAAAAAGCGTGATGCACGTGCAAAATTGTTGTTTTGCTAATTAAACTTTTTGCTTTTGTGGTGTTCCCGTTGCCGTCTCCGTCGTCGGATCTTAAGGTCCCTAATAATGACGCTGCCTTACGCACGAAAAGAAAATCTCATACTCGTAGTCGTTCTCGTCTTAGAATCTAAAGGTCTTTAACGTATGAGTAGCTGAGTACCTCTGTATCATCTGCACCAGGTTCCTGGTCAGGTGCTGATTAAAAAGAAAGCTGTTGATTGGTTGTTCCAGTGACTCACAGGACTCCATACAGTTCCACGGAGGAGAAACAGCCATGACTCCAACAAGACCTGAACTCTCACAGTCACCCACTTCATTTAAATAATTCATAAGGATCATCCTGTAAAAACAAAACGTGAGTCTTCAAAAAATTTCTTAACGCTTACGTCCAAAGACAGGCCGAAATTAATTTTCTCCTTAAGATATCAACCAATAATCAAGAAAAAACCAACAAGAATTAATAACGTGATCACCTAAAAGAAAACGCTTTGATCTCTAAGCAAATTCTTCCTACTAATCTTCAAAGAAATGCAAGAAAATCGGCCTGAAGAATTTAAAAGTGGATATAATGGCTTAAATGGTTAACAACTTCAGTACTAACAGTGAGTCTAGAAATGGGAGTAGCCTGGGATTTGAAATTTTCTTGCGTATTGTCTTCATCAATCTTTCTTTAGCACAGTCAAATTAGGATTAGCACAGTGGTAAGAGTGTGGCCTTCTCTGAGGGGAGGGGGGGAAGGGTCCAGAGTTTGATTGACTTCCTAGTTAGACCTCAAACTTTTGTTTCAGCTTCTCCCTTTCTGTGCAACATTAAGTAGCTTTTTATACCTTTAAAATGGAGCACTAATGGAGAGAGGGGGTAAAATGAGTGCATCGTCGACCTCAGGTTTCTCAGTTTTAAAGTACTATTACAAGTTAACCCTCTAAGTCTCAATAGTGACCAACATCAATTTTCTCCTAACAATATCCATACATTGTTAAGAGAAATGGTTATGAGAATCAGTGAAATGATCACCTGAGAAAAATGCTTTGATCTTTTATCAAATTCTCTCAACTAGTCTTCAAGGAAATGTAAGGAGTCCAATCTTGAATAATAAATTTGAATAATGATATTGGAGCTTAAAGGGTTAGCGAAATAAAATAAGGACCTTTACCTATTACTATTACTTACTAATTTGGGGATGAAAAAAAACAACAACAACGAAGACGACTTTATTGGAAACCAAAACATTTAAAAATGCATTTCAAAGTATCACTGCAATAGAAAAGGGCCCTACCAGCCGTTCGAAAATAGTACGGGACATTTTCCCAGTTGGCTCACACAGTGCCTTATATGCCAGCATCCAAGCTTAGAGTAGATAGAGCAATGCCTAATTTACTGTATTTGTGAGAACAAAGCCCCAAGTGACTTTTTATACTAAGGCTTGATTCTCCTACCAACTAGCCTTGAATATGCTTGAGAATCAAAGGGAGAATTTGATTTTATATCAGAAGTCACTTAGGGTCTTACTGGTGTTCCATTGACCACTCAAATAATAGAATGTAAAGACGAAACAAAATATTGTTTTCCTATCATCCATAGCTTTAGTTGTTTCAATCAAATACAGTCAAACCTCCATGCGTGACCACGTCTTCTTGTAAGCAAACACCTCCCATAAGTCACCACTTATCCAAAACACCAAGATTTTCCAAGTCAAAGCCTTATAGTAGTTGAAACCCCTCGTAAACAACAGTCTCTCGTAAGCCACACAGGCCACTTTTTCAGATGGCGGTTTTATAATTTTCCGTTGTTCTTTACCTTTTCTAATCGACCACCTGATAGAATGGTCTGATCTGTGTGTTCACTGTATGTACAACACTACTCAGAGTATGAAAAGAACTTCTAGAAACAACATGGATTTAGTTATTGTGGGTGACAAGAGGAGCCCCCAATCCTGATCTCCAGGTTGTTATTACATTTACTTGGACTTCCACTAAAAATGAATGGAATGCACAGAACGCCATATGAACACACGCGTTTGGAGCTTCTATCACCCGTAATCTGATCACACGCATTTTGGCTATCTGTCATGTAAAACTTATGAAAAGCACAGCTCTGGAGCAAAAGCGTTTTGACCTTCAATCATTGTCACCCGCAATCAATAACCTTTAATTTGTTATTACTAGTATTATAACCTAAAAATCGCATACAATACATTCTCTCCAAAAAAGGCGTTGGGTTCGGACTTCTTCTAGGAAGAGACCCCCTATGGTTTGATTCTCGTAAGCATAACCTTCTATAAGCGGCCACTAACTCTTCGCATTTTGGGTGGTTGCTTACAGGAGGTTTGACTGTAATAAGGAATGCCTTACCCTCCCATAGAAATTCCCATGCCAAATATTGGTGATCCTGGGTAGATTCTGTGAATGTGCGATAGAACAAACTTGAGGTCTTCAGTATTGGCTGCACAGAAGGTCCTTGGAGTCTGAAATTAAAGGTAGGCATAAATTTTACTACAATGCACTTTATCACCATCATCCACAAGGAAAGGTTCGACCTGACTCACATTAAAAGTGATTGAAACACTTGTGTAGCCACTAACAGGCCTTTGAATTATATTTACCTTTAACTGGGAGGCTCCAAATCCTCTATGATTAGCAACAATTGTCCTGTTATGTAAAATAGAGGTAATGAAAAAATATCTTTGTTAATGTTTAAGGTCAAAATTAAATTCAGGTTTAAATTATCGATTAAACCTAGGTTGATTCTCAATTTCCTTTGTCTCCTAGCCCTAATTTCATGAATAATTCAGGCTAGGAGACTGAAAGGATATAGTGAATAACAGGTGAAAAAAATTTTCACCTGAATTTAATTTTGACCTGTAACATTTAGATTTAAAGAGCAGGGTAGAGGTATCCTCTATCAANGAAGAGACCCCCTATGGTTTGATTCTCGTAAGCATAACCTTCTATAAGCGGCCACTAACTCTTCGCATTTTGGGTGGTTGCTTACAGGAGGTTTGACTGTAATGGGGAATGCCTTACCCTCCCATAGAAATTCCCATGCCAAATATTGGTGATCCTGGGTAGATTCTGTGAATGTGCGATAGAACAAACTTGAGGTCTTCAGTATTGGCTGCACAGAAGGTCCTTGGAGTCTGAAATTAAAGGTAGGCATAAATTTTACTACAATGCACTTTATCACCATCATCCACAAGGAAAGGTTCGACCTGACTCACATTAAAAGTGATTGAAACACTTGTGTAGCCACTAACAGGCCTTTGAATTATATTTACCTTTAACTGGGAGGCTCCAAATCCTCTATGATTAGCAACAATTGTCCTGTTATGTAAAATAGAGGTAATGAAAAAATATCTTTGTTAATGTTTAAGGTCAAAATTAAATTCAGGTTTAAATTATCGATTAAACCTAGGTTGATTCTCAATTTCCTTTGTCTCCTAGCCAGGGCTTCTGATATTTCGCGCGGTCGCGGACCCGTGAAATTCAGGTATTTCCGCGAAATCCCGCGAAATTCCCAAAAAAACACAAAATACCGCGAAATCCGCCAGAATATTTCCAAATACATGTCGGCAAAACATATTTAATACTTATCTTGGCTCTTAGACCTGTTCTATTCACCCCAAACGTCCAAATTTATCTTGAAACTTCGTCACTGCAACGAATAAACAACGTGTCAAAACTACCAGGCGTCTTAGATGAACGTTGCGAAAAACTGGGCACTAACCATAATGTTAACAGCTTTAGCGTTCGCTCATTTCTCGAGCGAACTGTTGTTGAAAGAGCAAATGATTATCCCTGTTAAAAAACGTTAAACAATGCTGGTCATATCGACGCAAAATTGATCGATTTTAGCGAAATTTGCCAAAAAAATCCATCGAAATTGGCTGTTTTTTACTGATTGTTTCTTGGCGAAGTTTCCCCCCAAAATTTCCCATGAAATCGGCCGATTTTTCTAAGAATTTGCCCCGAAAATCCTTCGAAAGTTGACTTTTTCCCACTAAAATCCCGCGAAATCGGCCGATTTTTGAGCGAATTTTGACTTTTCTCCCACGAAATCAGCCGATTTTTGAGCGAATTTTGACTTTTTCCCCGCGAAAATCCCGCGAAATCGGCCGATTTTTCCGCGAATTTGCCCCTGAAAATCCCGCGAAATTTTGCTTTTTTTTCCGCGAAATATCAGAAGCCCTGCCTAGCCCTAATTTCATGAATAATTCAGGCTAGGAGACTGAAAGGATATAGTGAATAACAGGTGAAAAAAATTTTAACCTGAATTTAATTTTGACCTGTAACATTTAGATTTAAGGAGCAGGGTAGAGGTATCCTCTATCAACAGGAGAAGTAAGGCAATTCCTTCCCTCCACTAGCTCACAGGTCACCTATGGGCAGGGTGGAGTATCAGGTCTGCCGGCACCAGGGTTGGTGAGGTCATGGGAGCGGGTGATACATATTTTTGAAGAAGCACCTGATGCTATAACTTACAGTGTTGACTCTCAAGATTGGAGCCAGGCATAGGATCCCCCTACTTTGGAAACTGGCTGGGGCCAGGCTGGGGGAAAGACTCAACCCTACTTCCTGAGACAATTTTATCCCAACAATCCAAGACCAAACAATGGAAACATGAGAAAGCATGCAAGGACAGAAACTATTTCTGCTGTGAGGTCGAGGAGGCAATGTCCTATGGGGATAACTAGGACTGAGTAGTAGTAGTAACATTTACATATTAAGCAAGATATTGACTAGTAATGCACGCACAAGAGGTTTTTGTAACAACAAGTCTCATTTTTGGTGGCTTTTGCTTGTCCTTATGCTCATGTCAAGCAGGAACCAGTCAATGATCTGTCAACAGCTGTAAAAATGACCAAAGGGTTACTCCGTTTCTGGGCTAACGGAGGGTTTGTCAGGGCTTCTGATATTTCGCGAAAAAAAAAGCAAAATTTCGCGGGATTTTCAGGGGCAAATTCGCGGAAAATCGGCCGATTTCGCGGGATTTTCCCGGGAAAAAAGTCAAAATTCGCTCAAAAATTGGCCGATTTCGCGGGATTTTCGCGGGAGAAAAGTCAAAATTTGCAGGAAAATCAGCCGATTTCGCGGGAAATTTCGGGGGAAAATTCGCCAAGAAACAATCAGTAAAAAACAGCCGATTTCGCTGAATTTTTTTGGCAAATTTTGCTAAAATCAATCAATTTTGCGTCGATATGACCAGCATTTGTTGAACGTTTTTTTAACAGGGATAATCATTTGCTCTTTCAACAACAGTTCGCTCGAGAAATGACCGAACGCTAAAGCTGTTAACGTTATGGTTAGTGCCCAGTTTTTCGCAACGTTCATCTAAGAACGCCTGGAAGTTTTGAGACGTTGTTTACTCATTGCAGTGACGAAGTTTCAAGATAAATTTGGACGTTTGGGGTGAATAGAACAGGTCTAATAGCCCAGATAAGTATTAAATATGTTTTGCCGACATGTATTTGGAAATATTTCTGGCGGATTTCGCGGTATTTCGTGTTTTTTTGGGAATTTCGCGGGATTTCGCGGAAATACCTGAATTTCGAGGGTCTGCAACCGCGCGAAATATCAGAAGCCCTGGTTTGTTTACTACAAAAGAGAGTCCACAGTCCGTCTTTTATCGTCTCGTCCCAATCCATAACGTAGTGGCTTTGCAATCCCACAGGCTGAGATAAGAAGACGGATTGTAAGAGAAAAGGTGGACTGCAAGCAGTCTAAAACCCACTATGAATGGGATCAACATAAGCATTAGAACAAGAAAAACAGAGGGTTTTATACTTCTATGTGTCCCAGCTCTCCTTACTGGACAAGTTCAGCATTCTAACCCACCTCACTCCTAACTTTTCACCCAGTACCACCAAATGACGGCTATAGCTTGTCTCACTTCCACCTAAAATAATAATGGTTTGAACAAGATAAATGACACATTTTCAATATCATTCACCATTCATTTAGTTCTTAGTTAAGTTAAAAAGGCTTCATACAAAAAATTGCAACCATTTTTCAGAGACTTTTCAAGGACCACATTAGATTTCCAAGGACTACCTACTAGGAATAAAATTTCACAGATTGTACAAAAATGCACATACCTAATCTATTCTAATAAGACTTTAAAGCATGAACTGTTTCCTTCACCAACTTCTCTACAATTTTCAAATTGATAGTTAATTATTGCATGAAACATAGAGCACTTTGTGTAAAGAACCTTTAAATACTCTGAGCTTTGATTTATATTCTGTCTTGGACAATCAAAAAGCATCAAAAAACTCTTTCCAGGCCACTACATTCAACGTTGAAGAAAATTCAAGGACTTTTCAAGACTGCCCGAACCCAGTATGTGGTTAAAACCTCTAGTGTAGCACTTAAATCTCTTATAAACAAACAGCCTAAAATATATGTATTTATAACACCAACTTCCTCTAACTGAAAGGTATATGTGTAAGAGATTTTTGAAGGCCATCAAAAGGAATTTGAATACTGATATTAGCATCTTGGAATTAGTTACTAACCAGTGAGTCCAGGAAGTATTAATACAGTAGGTCTTGTTGCAGCATCGTTATAAACAGTGCTGTCATCATTGTCAAACCAGTCCAAGCAAACAATCCCTTTGTCTGGTGTTTCCAAAGTCTCCCTTAAGTAACAAAAATGTGACACATAGCATCAACGTTCATTGTCATAAAAATTCATGATCAGATCGTGCACATCACCACTACAGTCATTGTTACTACCATCATTGTTGTCACTGCTATTATTAGATTTTCAAAAAGTCCTTAAATTTTAACCCTGGTTGGTTATGGTATTCTGAAGGACTTTTCATACCTGTTTGGTGCGAAATTCACCAATCAAAAATTCCAGGGGTGACGTCATGACAATTGACTAATATAGGAGACTAAGAGTTTTAGCATGATGTAACCCGAGGAGCCCTAGGAAAAAGCCCACATTTTCTTTTCCCATGTAAAATAACATGATTCTTTTTATGGAGGGACATTTCAAACACATGCCAGAACCCTTTGAACAAATAGTAATAGTTTGCAAATGGATCTTGAAACTGTAGCTTCTGATCGCTTTTTATCCTCCAGTAGATAATAAATATAAGAAAAAATGAACTCTTAGACCAAAAGTCGATAGAAATCGATAATCACTTGACAGTTTGTGATCAACTCTTATTGATTACGATATTTGTCAATTGATGAGTATCGATTTTTATCAACAACAATCGGTTTCTATCGGTTATCGGAATTATTACATGTGACGTTCTGGAAAAAAGGGTGAATGATCGCCACTCACACTATGGCGGTCGTTACGAGCACATTTGAACGGTAACTAGGGCTCAAGAAGAATTATTATTAACTTCCTAAGGAAAAAACAGTGAAAAAATACCTTCTAAAGGGAACTGAAGGTTTGGACCTGATCACCGCTCGAATTACCGTTTGCGCACGAGCTCCAAAACACCAAAAAGTTGGCCAATAATATTCGCTTACCATCGGACAACTCTGCAAGAGGAACTCTCGAAACGGACCTTCTTTGCCGATCAATCGAGGCTTTTGAACGACGTGAAACAAATAATACGTGACGTAGGTGACCAGCAGAACAGTCAACACGGGAAGCCATTGCCACTGATAAAGGATATGAAGAAACTCTTCCAGGGATTGCATTTTGAGGAAAAAATGCAGCTAAAGAGCGCTGACAGGTCTTCGCATGGCTTTGCATTTGTTGTGAAACGAAGGACGAAGCGGACTTTGGTTCTTCGATTAACAGTAGTGTCTAGGTCACCGCGGTCCAAAGACGACCAAAGAAAAACGAAAGAGACTGGAACTTCGCATGACAATGACGGTCGCAGTTCGAAGTTAAAAAAATACATTTCAATTTCCTCAAATACTTTCATAGTTTTAGCTTTAAACAACATCTAAAGGTCTGAATTGTGAAGATTTAATATTCTAATTAATTTTTCTTCAAAATGACGGAGTTATTTACTCACTACGAACAACAGTTCGGAAATATCAGCGCTGAAATTACGGCGAAAATTTGCAAGATTCCGAACCTTCATGGATGTAAGTTTGATTGTGAATTTGACAATTTGTTGAAATTGATTGGTGTTGTAGCTTCTTTTAAACTTAAAACAGCGTTATTTTATTTTTTCCTTTAGCATCGAAGAAGGGTGCAGTCAGCGACGTCGAACGATGCTTTGATGAAGCTCGTGAATTGGTAAGAAACGAAAGATTTATGATTTCAAGATTGAATGAAAAATAATCAACTTTATTAAGCTTATGTTGAATATCATTGTGTTTGTGTATGCGTCTTATTCCCTTTACATCTGTAAGATTCGATAAACATTTAATTTTGACAGCCGTCTTTTATCCACACAATGGTCAGGCTCAGATTGCTCAAAACTCTCAGTATCATTATTAAAGTTTATTCAGATTTATTTGGTAAAAATCTAAAAAACTCTGAAAACACGGTTTCTTTTTGTCACTGCGATTGTTCTTTCCTTTTCTTAAATCTTAATGGATAAATATATTTGGCACAATTACACCAGTCCATTAAATTATTAACATTGTTTCTGATTGATATTGGACTAGAGTGTCATTTCATTTTTAATAAAGTAACGCTTCCTGTAAGAACTATAGAAAACTCAACAACGCAGCAGGATCTAGACGGTAGTGTGTTTCCAATTAACCTATTGAAATCCAGCCCTGTACTCTGAGCTTTGATTTATATTCTGTCTTGGACAATCAAAAAGCATCAAAAAACTCTTTCCAGGCCACTACATTCAACGTTGAAGAAAATTCAAGGACTTTTCAAGACTGCCCGAACCCAGTATGTGGTTAGAACCTCTAGTGTAGCACTTAAATCTCTTATAAACAAACAGCCTAAAATATATGTATTTATAATACCAACTTCCTCTAACTGAAAGGTATATGTGTAAGAGATTTTTGAAGGCCATCAAAAGGAATTTGAATACTGATATTAACATTTTGGAATTAGTTACTAACCAGTGAGTCCAGGAAGTAATAATACAGTAGGTCTTGTTGCGGCATCGTTATAAACAGTGCTGTCATCATTGTCAAACCAGTCCAAGCAAACAATCCCTTTGTCTGGTGTTTCCAAAGTCTCCCTTAAGTAACAAAAATGTGACTCAGAGCATCAGCGTCCTCATAAAAATTCATCAACATGTACATCTTCATCACTACAGTCATTGACCATCATTGTTGTCACTGCTATTATTAGATTGTCAAGAAGTCCTTAAATTTTAATCCTGGTCAGTTATGCTATTTTAAAGGACTTCTCAGAGTGAAAATTCACCAATCAAAAATTCCAGGGGTGATGTCATGACAATTGACTAATATAGGAGACTGAGGGTTTCAGCATGATGTAACATATGAGCAGCTCTAGGAAAAAGCCCCTATTTATGCGGTGTTCTGGGCTCATTGTAGCTTACAAATCTGATATTTGGGCAGCCCATGAAGTAAACTGTTATAGTAAACTAGTCTTGAGGTCACAAAAGCATGAACTAGAATGTATCTGTCTGAAGGCACTCCTTTGACAAAAATTTTGAAATTTCGACAGATGTTATGAATACGATAGAAACAGGTTTGAAACATTTGGGTGATATGATTGTTCATACTTAGTGAATTATCATTATCATCATAATTAGCCTGCATAACAGGCACTTTATGAGAGTGCCCTGGAGAGCTACACAGCTCGCAGGCTACTGTTTTTTTTTTTTTATGTGCATTTGAACATTTTATGGAATTTGCGCATTATAAATGTTTTATTATTACCTGCACTTTTAATCCCTTTTTTTTAAGTTATCAAAAATCAGGTGGGGATTTATAACAGAGTAGATTTACAGTTTACTGTTGAACGAAATATGAATGCTACTACAGTCAACTCTCTCCAAGACTGACACCTTTGGGACCGGCATCAAGTGTCCGTCTTAGAGAGATGTCCGTCTTATAGAGAGTCAAATAAAAGGAGTAAAAGAAAGGCAGGAACCAACTCCAAGTGTCCGTTTTACAGAGGTGTCCGTTAAGAGAGAGTCGACTGTATATCAAGAAATTGGACGTCACAATTCTTCGAACCAACTGACCATGCAGAGGCTTAAGTCATAAAATGTTTTTACGGGGGGACATTTCAAACACATGCCACAACCCTTTGTTTTAATAGTAATAGTTTACAAATGCATCTTGAAACTGTAGCTTCTGACAACTTTTTATCCTCCAGTAGTTAGTAAATATAAAAAAAAAATGAACTCTTAAACCAAAAGTTGATAGAAATCGATAATCACTTGACATTTTGTGATCGACTTTTATTGATTACGATATTTGTCGATTGATGACTATCGATTCTTATCAACCACAATCGGTTTCTATCGGTTATCGGTATTATCGACATGTAACGTTCCGGAAAAAAAGTTGAATGATCGCCACTCACATTATGGCGGTCGCTACGAGCACATTTGAACGGTAACTAGGGCTCAAGAAGAATTATTATTAACTTCCTAAGGAAAAAACAGTGAAAAAATACCTTCTAAAGGGAACTGAAGGTTTGGACCTGATCACCGCTCGAATTACCGTTTGCGCACGAGCTCCAAAACACCAAAAAGTTGGCCAATAATATTCGTTTACCATCGGACAACTCTGCAAGAGGAACTCTCGAAACGGACCTTCTTTGCCGATCAATCGAGGCTTTTGAACGACGTGAAACAAATAATACGTGACGTAGGTGACCAGCAGAACAGTCAACACGGGAAGCCATTGCCACTGATAAAGGATATGAAGAAATTCTTCCAGGGATTGCATTTTGAGGAAAAAAATGCTGCTAAAGAGCGCTGACAGGTCTTCGCATGGCTTTGCATTTGTTGTGAAACGAAGGACGAAGCGGACTTTGATTCTACGATTAACAGTAGTGTCTAGGTCACCGCGGTCCAAAGACGACGAAGGAAAAACGAAAGAGACTGGAACTTCGCATGACAATGACGGTCGCAGTTCGAAGTTAAAAAAATACATTTCAATTTCCTCAAATACTTTCATAGTTTTAGCTTTAAACAACATCTAAAGGTCTGAATTGTGAAGATTTAATATTCTAATTAATTTTTCTTCAAAATGACGGAGTTATTTACTCACTACGAACAACAGTTCGGAAATATCAGCGCTGAAATTACGGCGAAAATTTGCAAGATTCCGAACCTTCATGGATGTAAGTTTGATTGTGAATTTGACAATTTGTTGAAATTGACTCGTGTTGTAGCTTCTTTTAAACTTAAAACGGCGTTATTTTATTTTTTCCTTTAGCATCGAAGAAGGGTGTAGTCAGCGACGTCGAACGATGCTTTGATGAAGCTCGTGAATTGGTAAGAAACGAAAGATTTATGATTTCAAGATTGAATGAAAAATAATCAACTTTATTAAGCTTATGTTGAATATCATTGTGTTTGTGTATGCGTCTTATTCCCTTTACATCTGTAAGATTCGATAAACATTTAATTTTGACAGCCGTCTTTTATCCACACAATGGTCAGGCTCAGATTGCTCAAAACTCTCAGTATCATTATTAAAGTTTATTCAGATTTATTTGGTAAAAATCTAAAAAACTCTGAAAACACGGTTTCTTTTTGTCACTGCGATTGTTCTTTCCTTTTCTTAAATCTTAATGGATAAATATATTTGGCACAATTACACCAGTCCATTAAATTATTAACATTGTTTCTGATTGATATTGGACTAGAGTGTCATTTCATTTTTAATAAAGTAACGCTTCCTGTAAGAACTATAGAAAACTCAACAACGCAGCAGGATCTAGACGGTAGTGTGTTTCCAATTAACCTATTGAAATCCAGCCCTGTGATTGGCTAGAAAACGAAAAAGGCTAAAAACTGATAGTAGCATATTGAAAATTTCCTTGAAGTTCTAAGGTTCCATATATGGAATTTGGCTATTGTTTCGTATATGTAAATTTCAAGAGAATCTTATGCGGGGTTTAGAGAGGCCCTGCCAGGGTAAATTCTGACAAGCGACATGGCCCAAAAAGTTGTGACAGCGCGTAAAATGAAATCGCGACAAGAGACAACCTCTCTCAGCTAAATTGCAACGGTGACAGCAAAGCCGACAATAAGCGACAAGCATTTATAAATACCGACACGAGACATTTTAAAATTCAGATGGGCGACATGGGAACCCCCCTTGGCAGGGCCTCTTAATAACCATAGTTATGGCCCATCTTTACCTTTTCACTGAGTATCCATCATCTTCTATTGTTATCCCAGCCAGAAAACAGTGGTTATTCCTAGCCCTTTTTTGATTGTAAATTTTATGTATCTTTTTTCTAAAATTGATAGTACATTAGTATATTATGCCTTTTGTGACTGTATGCCACATTATTTTCACTTTGAAGGCATTTTAGTGATCCATGTGCGTCATACCCATGAAACTGTCAAGAAATGATGAAAGAAAAGTAAAACATTGTTCTCTGGACTGTTATCAGAGAAAATGCACAGTTCTCTAATACAATTTTTTTCCCTTTTTGAATCTGCAAAGATTAATAGAAAATATATACAGTAAGCAAAATCTCAGCAAAATTATTGGGCTTTAATAAATAAAATTTTCTTCAAAAAATTTGAATTTCATGCCAAATGGCCTTTTAACTAATGAGAAGGCTCATCTGGGGCTTTAATGTTCACATGTTGGCTCACCATATGAAAAAACGGCTATCATTGCGGCCGCCTATTGTTTTTCACCATAGTTTTTATGCAAAGCGTTCCTTCATTTTTTATTCAGTTTTCCCTTCAAAATGATTATTTATCAGAGTATTAGATCTTGGTCTATTTTTCCACAAAGTTTTAGCTTGCATTGTTTATCTTGGTACCTGTAGGTGTTTTACTCTCTTATTTATGTAACTCCCAACTTTTGCCAAGTTGCATGCTTGTGATTTTTGCATCCATATTACCGGACCGTCTGAAAAAATTTGAACCTTGCCAATGATGTTCTGATGACTTCCAAAAATTAGCAAAGATTCCCAGATTTCCAAGGGTCACCAAACTGTAGGGAAGGGAAGCGCCAAACAAGTCTTGGCGCCATCTTGGTGAGATCACACATATCTTGGCAAGATTACCAAGGAACATCGTGCTGAGATCGCCGTTATACCCTAGATTGTGCATAACATATTTGTTGGTATTTTTTTGGAATTAATATTAATTGTGCCCTATTTATGTGAAATTGTCCTATATGCATTTGATCAAAGTTTTTTATCCTTAGGCGTATGACACACACATAATAGGTGTGAGTTGGCAGCTATGTATTTACTCAGGGAGTCATCCTGCCCTGAATATCATTAGACACTGTGATTTTTCTTTTCTAGATAGAACAAATGGAGTTGGAAGTTAGAGAAGTTACAGGTGAAGAGAAAGCAAGATTAAATAACAGACTCAAAGCCTACAAAAATGAAATGCAGAGATTTGAACAAGACTTGGTAAGCAACCAAATAAAAATACATGTTTATGGCCTGAGTGAGTGCACCTCTTTAAAAATTAGCTTTGCAGGCTCCTCTTGTCACCCGCAATCCTAATCTCCAGATTGTTGTTACGCATGCTTCGCATGTATGTAGCCAGCATTCATTTGGACTTCCAGTAAGAATGAATGGAATGCACAGAACGCAATGTGATCACGCGCATTTGGACCTTCTGTCATTTGTAATATGATCATGCGGGTTTTGACCATCTGTCATGTGAAACTTACACAAACACTTCGATTGAGCAAAAGTGTTTTGATCTTCCATCATTGTTGCCCACACTCCATAACCTAGCATGTAGTTACCATCTTTGATTTTGAAAGGAGAGGTTCAATTATTGAGTTCAGAAAATGACTAGTTTTGATGAGGCTCTCTTAGGTGGAGTGCAGATGTCCATAGTCTGAATTTCAAACCCAAGTGGAAAAACATGCAACAAACATGCGAGTAGAAAATTGTAAACAAAGGCACAACACAGGGCAGTGTTAATGGATCATATCTTTTAAATTTGTTCCTAAACGACTTAGAAATAGATGAGCATGACGATATAGCTTTATTTAAATATACTGACGATACTACCATCTTAGTATTAAATGCTCACTAGAGGTTTATCTGATCGATCTGACTTTGCCTTTTCCAAATGTATGGACTAGATGTTTGCAAATGGCATATGGATGCAAGTAGTAAATGCAACGAATTACTTTTGCATAAGAAAGGGAATCAAACAGCTTATCCAGTGTTACACAATATCAAGCAAAATAAATTATTATCCCCTTGTTGAGAGTTACAATACTATTGTACATGTAAGTTTAGTTTGCATGTTAAAGCTAAACTTAATGAAGCCAACAATTATTTGAAGCCAATATTTATATTGAAGCTAATATTTATATAGACTTCTAATTATTAGAAGTCTGTGCAAGGAAGAATATACACAAGGAGAAAGTGATGTTCTTTTTTTGTAATTTTGCTGTCTAAAATAATGTATGGCCTTTCAGTTCACATGGCTACCATTTCAGACCTTACCTCTGTGCAAAGCTTTTTAACAAGATGTCACAAGAGACGCTATACATCTGTTAGTTATAGCGTCAATAACTTATTGGAAAAAAGTGACCGCTGTCTCTTTTTTCACTGAAACATTACGACCATCCATTAAATAATCTTCTCTCCTGGTATAAGGACTCATCAAAGCGGCTTAGAAATAGATCCATTGTAACTGAGAGCTAGTGTAAACACTGAATGTTTTATAGCTTTTTTAACAAATTAGTATTTAAGTGTAACTTACATAGCCGTATAGATTTTCAATTTTCGTATTTAACTTAATTTACTTCAGGCCCGTAGGCTGGTTTTTGCCTGGGTGGTTTCTTTTTCGCTTAAAACGGACCTTTAATGTTAACAGTGTCATACAAAATTAAACTTACCGTTACTTGTACTGGGGGGGTGAGGTGTCCGTAGCAGGAGTAGTCTGTAATGATGGCTGCATCTCATTCTGAACTGAACTATCATTTAACTCTGAAGATACCTCACCTGTTTTCGACTTTTTTGACAGAAATCTTTCTAACATTTGGCATGAAGCCCCTGCCCGTTTTCTTTCTCTTTCTTTTTGCTCACGACGCCCCATAGTAACAAAGCAAATCAACGGCGATTTCCTAGGCCAATGAACTTGATGCTATGTAAGCACAACATGGCGACCACTCGTTTCAGGCCATTACAGTTCAAAGATGGACGTTGGGTTCCAGGCTCAGAAACAACCAAAAGCCAATGGTGTACTGAAATATTTCTTCACTAAACAGAGTGAATACTAAAGAAAACTAAAGCATCGAGATTTGGAAGCTGCCACAGATCCCAAAATATGGGAAATTTAAGAATAACGAGCTAATTGTATGGTTTCAGTAATTTTTTTATACATGCAAGACATGTTTTAAGCCAGTCAAATTATTTGTGATTAGGCCACTGAGCGGACCTTTCCAGGCAGTGGGGGGTTTCGTCCGAACCCTTCGAACCCCCCCAGCCTACGGGCCTGTACTTGTATAAATGTTTTAAACTAGGTTTTTAAACAGATTGGTTTTTAAGTATAACCTAGCTGTGCAAATATTTGAATTTTTAATTTTTTTTTTACCTTTACTTGGATACAACTGTACTTTGCGATTTATTGTCTCTTAACATTTCAATGTAACCTCTGATATATGTATTTTTATCCAATGAATATAGACTTATTTCATAGGAAAGTAGAGGAAAAATAGCACCAAAAGAAATCTCTAGGGTAGCTGTTTTATTCCCTGCCTACTTGTTGTATTTACCTCGCATCTTGAAATCTTAGTGACATCCCTGTCTGGGGTTGGAATTTTTCCCTATTAAGAACTGTTTTGTCAGCCTTCTACTCATTTCATAGAAAGCAGTCCAGTAAAACTAATTAGGGGATGCCTCTCAATTTTCTCCTTCACTACTACAGAAAAAAGCCAGAGTAGCTTTCTCTGACCAGGAAGGCAGAAATGAATTGCTTGGAGGCGAGGATTCGCAGTACAGTTCTGAAGATCAGGTAATTGTTTTATCCCAGAATGATATTAATTTTAATCATTTCACTTCCAAAGGTACAGTGTAGCCTCAGCCACAAAGATATTTTCCTCAATTTCAGTGGATGTTTATTACTATTAATTTTGTTCCATCATTCAGTTTAAACCCATAATGATTATAAACATTTTTTTAATACATCTGGATTCATTTTTCAAGAGAGCAAGATTATTAGACAACACTGAAAGATTGGAGAGGTCTGGAAGGCAACTGGAGGAAGGTTATAAGATGTGCGTAGAGACAGGTGAGGCTTACGATATAATACTGTAAATCCTCTATTAAGCCCCCCAGAGGGCTTATTTATTTCAAGCCCATTTGGGGGTGGGGGGGGGGGGCCTCAAAAGAAACGGGGTGCCTATTTGAGAGGGGGGGTGGCTTATTTCATTTTGAAATGACAATGGTATCAGTTCTCCATAAAGAACTAGAATACAAAGTGGAAAAGTTCAAGTACAAGAAGTTTTAGGCCATGCAGCCAATCCGAACTTCCAGTTGGTAAATAAACCATCCCAGATCAGTCTACACAAAGTTTTACAGTTGTGATTAATTAATACATTCTATCACTAATTAGTGAAGAATAATTAGGGGAGAGGAGGGGGGGGGGGCTTATTAATTTTCTTCCCCTGAAAAGGGGGGTTATTAGAGAGAGGAGCTTATCTGAGAGGAGGGGGGACTTAATAGAGGATTTAAGGTGTATAGATTTAACTAAGGCCAAAAGCAAAGCTCTTGTGGCCAGTGGGATACTTTAAGAAAAGTCTTTCTGCTGTAATTGGACTCCAAACTAGTAAGTTTGACATTTCACATCCGCTAACATAAGCGGGTGGACGTATGTACGGACAATTTTGTCACAAAAAAAAATTCTTAGATGTGTAGATAACCAAATTTTATTTCCCGTGGTGCTCCGCTGCGTGCACTTTGCGCGTGCTAGAGCTCCACTAAGAAACGGATAATATGTTACCAGAAGCGTTATCTCAATTGTGGCGGGATGTTTCTGGATCAGCCGTGGGATAACACTTATTGGGCAAAAGACTTGACTGAAATCAGAAACTGCACGTGAAAATTCTCTGGCAATCCTCGTGAATATGCTTGTTACAACCTGACGTTTGGCAGTATGTAGGTTGTGATCTCATTCGCTCAGAAGCCCTTCAATTAAGCTAATCAATCCAGGCTGACCACATGATTACAGTGATAGACCTCACCTGATAAACTGTTCTCCTGTGTTGATGCCAGGGTAGTCAAATTTTGAAAAAATGCTGTTAATTTGTGTGCATCTCTTTCCGTTTCAGAACAAATAGGAGTCGATATTATGAATAATTTACATAGAGACCGAGAAGTCATGGAGCGTGCAAGAGACAGAGTACGTATATGAAGCATTTTTACAGATAAAATAGGAGCGAGGTTTTTTTTATTTGAGTTCTTAGAATAGAGTCTTGGTAGGATTAATCATGACCCATATAACGATCATAAATTTAGTCGTACGTTATCATGGAAGCATTTATGCACCCCAGGGGGGAGGGGTTACTCCCGTTTATGGCCTAAACGGAGAGGACCCGCCTAAATGTGGTACCTTTTTCAGGCTTCAGGTATATGAAAAGGTAGGGATTTCACTTGTTGAAGTATATGAAAGGGTAGGAAGATCTGTTAAGAAGACCAAAACAAACCCGTTGCAAAAATGTGTGACTCAGCAAGTAATATATCAGGTTTAGAGTTTTTTTACCTTGTCGTTGTCTTTTATTGTAACTATTTCGTAATTACTGTGTCCTTGGCGTGGGCTACTAGGTGAGTCTTGTTGAAATGGTACCTACCTACCTACCTCGCTTCCTCCCTCCTCCCTCCCCGCTCTTCGTCGACTCAACTCCGTCCCCCAAGCCGAAGGAAAACAGCGGAAAGAGAGTGTGCTCACAGACGACTACGGAAACAACGTTTCAGAGCACACATTTTTTTTCCACGCAGTCAGATAAAAACTTTTGTAACCCTTTGGCGTTGGCGAGAATTGTAACTTACAGTACCAGTCCACCTAGTCAAATACGAATCCACTCGATCAAAAATCATCCATTGGGCCTGGTGTTTACAAATATTTTGGTCTTTTTAGACTCGAGGAACCGACAAGAATCTAACTAAAAGCTCTCGGATTTTAACTGGAATGATGAGAAGGTAATTATAGATAAATTAGCAAATAAATGCAAGTCTTTCTCTTCCGTGTTTTTCTTTTCCCCGATTTGAAGCCCTTTTTTCCATGTGCAGCAAACGTCTTTGACCCACTGTTCACCAAACTGCTTTGCGTCATTGTAGTTGCGAAACGATCACTTTCGCATCTTTTAGAGGTACAGTTCACTCAGACAAATTTACTACGAAACTGAGTATCATTTCGCAGATGAATGAAATCTATCTAGAGATTAAATGAATTTTTTGCACCAACAAGTTAACATCATTGTAGTGAATACATGGCACCAGGAGCCCTTAACCCAGAGCGAACAACTTCCATGTACTCGTGTCACAGCGTTCTCACCGACCAGTTTACCTTTCAATCGCTTTTGGGTCGAATTTAGAATACCTCTTAAAGCCCACGAACCAGGCGGCAAAACCAACAGACCTAAAAATGGTATTTTGACCTTTTGATCTGATTAACAATTATTCCACGAGTGCGCGTTGAATGTGAGATGGTAGATAGCCAACAAGGCGCGTAACAAGCGCGAGCGGAATAATTGTTTTATTAAAAACGCCTACAAAATATCGAGTTCTTCCTAACTTTATTTGTAAAAACAACCGATTTTCAGCTTGTTTTTAATTTTGAGCAGACGCGAACAGGTACCATATTTGGAGAGCATGGTATAATTGCTCATATACCATGATGGCTAAGCTAATCAGAGCTCTAGAATTGCATTATCCAGTGATTTAGTTTTAATAATGACGTTTAGCTTTCCTTTTTCATATTTTGTACTTGGAATGTGCTCATAGACAGAGCGGAGTTTCTCGCCGAATCAAAGGGCTCTAAAATGTTTCTAAATATAAACCGGTCCATTCCGTGACATAAGCCTAGTATGGGAGTCACTCGCTCCGGGTTATGGACTCCTAGTGGCACTAATCAGTCTACCCACGAATCTCGCACCTACCATGCACAAATTAAGGAGCTTTAGCAACGGTAGCCTGTACACAGACGTTGTTTTATTTTTCTTTTCGGTTAATAAATCCACCGCAGTTTTTATTTTTTATCACGCGCGCTCGATGGACTTTGAAGAGAAAATAGAGGGTCTGTGATCAGGCTATAGCAACGGCAACGAGAACGTCAAAAAAACAATGGCTTTATTTTAGCAAAACAACAAATCTGCAGGTGCCACACTTTTTTTGTCCATTTCTTTACCGTCACTGCACGACTACGACGTGAAAATGCCTATTTTCACGTTTTATGGAGGACATAAACAAGCGAAGACGAATTTTCTTCAATTTCTCTTTCTACACGTGAGTGCAGTCCCCAGGAAATCAACTCCAGGGAAATTCGCCTACATTTGACATTTTCAGCGTATTAGAATAAACGCGACAAAGATTAAAAAATCGCCAATTCATTTAAAAGTGGTCTTTTTGCTGTCGTCCGCGTCGTCGATGCTAAAGCTCCCTGTTATCGTTTAAAAAGCGCTATTGGGTCCGACCAGAATGAGGTGCGTTAATCATTTAGGCACGCAAAGTAGTTTGAGTGAGCATAGTGCAATTCCGATAAATAATATCGTCACGTGACCACTCACGGAAACTATTGCCGTCCATACCCTCCTATTTTATCTGAATGCTGTAATTTTTGTTTTCAGGATAATCCAAAACAGAATAATAATGGCTATCATATGCCTTGCAATACTTGGAGTTATTGGACTTGTCATATATTACGCTACGAAATAATAATATATAATTAAACCGATGATATCTACGGTCGAATCCCGGTAACTCGAACCCTCTGCAACTGGAACCTCCCGCTAACTCAAAGCAATTTACGTTTCCCTTCAGATCGTTTTCTATATAATTTTACCCTCGATAACTCGAACTCCCGATAACTATTTCCCTTGAAGGTTCGAATTATCGGGAGTCGACTGTACCTGTAATCAAGATTAATTGATTTTATACGACTGAATGTATTATGATCGGTCATCCTTAAGGAATTTTTATTTGCAGTCAGACTGTCGACCATTCTCGCTATTATCGTGAGCCAATTCGTAAGACTGGTTTACGCGTCCGGAACAAGTCTATGCGCAAGAAAATGGAACGATTTATCTTGTCTTGTGCTTGTGCTTATGCCATTGCTTGAGTTGTTGATTCGCATAACGCATGCGTGAGTACAAACACATGTTAGTTTGGTAAACACATGTAAGTTTGGTTCACTGTGTGCTTATAACGGATCTATTGGTGTAACAAACTATCTTTTTAAAAGGAGAAAATCATCTAGGGCTCCTAAAAACAGTGAAAATTCCATAGAAAATGATTGTAAATCTTAGATGGAAGTCACTGCCTTCCCAAAAGTAAACATAAAAAAGCGAAGCAAGCTCTCACTCGGCATTTTTTGTTCGGAAAAGGGGTGAGGGAGGGGGAGAGCAGTGAACAATGGTTCAATTTAGATTTCGCCGAGAAAGCTTGTTCGCAGACAAGAAATTTTTGCTCGTTCGTAGCACTAAGTATCACTGGTATCACTTGCATAGTCAATCAACTCGCCCATTACAGATTACTTCATATCATTTACACCCATAGAAAGGATTCACTTTTACAGACATTCCTTAGTATCTTACATTTAAATCTTGTTAATATTTAATTTAATTTAAGTAATTTTCCAATAGTTGGTGATGAGAACAAAAGAATCATTTCCAATTAGGTAAACTTACAGGGCGGGCTATTATACCGGAGTGTAGCCCGACGGTGTTTAACAAACCACAATGTAAGCCGTTTTCAATGAGGCCTGGCACAGTAATTTCGAGAAAAAATATACGTAGCCAAGTCTAACAAAAAAGATTCATTTGTCCATTTAATACAACGCATGGTTGTCGTAAACCGTGATGTAAGTTTTACAGTCGACCCTCCTGTAAGTGACCACCCAAAATGCAAAGAGTTAGCAATGGCAGATCCAGACCTTCAGATAAGGGAGGGGTGGGGGCGGTCTCAATAATTTTTTTTTTCGGCCCTTTTGGGCCTCAGTTCGGTCTAAAAACAAGGCGGGTGAGGCTCCCCTGGATCCGCCACTGGTTAGTGGTCGCTTACAGGAGGTGGCAGCCTAAGAGAATTGAACCAGAGGGAGGGAGTGTCTTCCAAGAAGAGGTCCGTCCACTTCTACTTTTGGGAAGGGAATTAACACGTGTAATTTTCAAGTAATTATATTTGTACCAGAGAGTTTAAGATTCACGTTTACGCCAAACGGCAAACGTCAGATTCAAGTTGAGAATTTCTCAGAATAGAAAATAAGCAGATGAAAACTGTCCAGAACAATTCTTATAAATAAAACTTGCGTCAAACTACTTGTTTTTTAGTTGAAGTGATCAGTTAAAGACAATTAAGGGAAAAACTAGGTCACGTGGTACAAATTCACGTTTGCTGTTAGGTGTAAACGTGAATCTTAATCTCTCTATTTTCATGTTGTCACTGAATTTTGCTCGTATGCTCTGAGTAGTCTGTGCATCACGTACAGTGAAATAGGGATCAGGCTGTGAGTCAAGTGGTCGCTTACAAGAGCTTAAAACGGTGGAAAACTTTAAACCGTCACCCCCTCCTCTCCCTCCTCCCGTCGCCGTTGCTCACGAGAGGGCCCATCTATTGGGCTTTCACTGGAAAGCCTTTTGGTGTTTTAACTTGCTTGTCGCTTATAGGCGCTGATCGCTTACGAGAGGTGGTCGCACGTGGAGGTTCGACTTCATTTTTCTTTGACAACCGACCCACGAAATTAGTTAGACTTTACAGTTCTTTTGACCTTTGTTCTTGTGATTATTCATGTTCCCCTGCTAGTTTTTCTGCCAACAGAGTTAATTATGGAAGTAGGTGATCTGACGTGCAGCTTGTTTTTCTCAGTCATTCACGTTAATCCAGTACGTGACGTACCGGAAGAAAGGGTGGCGTGGACCAGGAGCCCATAACCTAGACTGAAGGTCTCCTTATTTCGCTCGGAACACGTGACCCAACAAATGTTGCTCCGTGCGAAATAGCGAGTCCTAGAGGCTGGGCAAGAGTTAGCGAAGATGCCGTGATCTGTTGCTTAAAGCTAGGTGTAAACGGACACAACAACTCCCAACATTGTTGACCCAACAATGTTGTAAGTTGTTGAAACGTAGCTAAACGTTTGACCGGTTTCAAACTTTGCGCAAGAACTGCATTAATATACAACAGGGTGTGCAAACGGACGCAACATGTAACATCCAAAAATGTTGGGAGTTGTTGGCCAAAAATGTTGCTTCGTTTGTAAGGGGGCTTAACAGAACAACATTTGCTGGAATCTACGTAAATAGTGATACGTACCTGAAGCAGATTATGCCGTTTTGGTCTTAGCTTCCCTTAGCTTACGAGCAAGCGGACGAATCATAGCGATTAACCGGGGATAGGGTCGGAAGAGCCGGGATCGTTACCTAACTCTCCTCAACCCCCACCCTGTAAGAGTGTGCTCACGGGTTTGGTGACTGTAATGATCACCGCACGGTGTATACACCTATTTCAATAAAGGTTGCTTTGGGATTTGGTCATTGAAACACAGAATACAATGCAATGCTTTGCTTGAGTGACCACCAAACAATAGCTTTCGAAGATCAAAGCACGATTCCCAAAGCAACCTTNTTGTTTTTCTCAGTCATTCACGTTAATCCAGTACGTGACGTACCGGAAGAAAGGGTGGCGTGGACCAGGAGCCCATAACCTAGACTGAAGGTCTCCTTATTTCGCTCGGAACACGTGACCCAACAAATGTTGCTCCGTGCGAAATAGCGAGTCCTAGAGGCTGGGCAAGAGTTAGCGAAGATGCCGTGATCTGTTGCTTAAAGCTAGGTGTAAACGGACACAACAACTCCCAACATTGTTGACCCAACAATGTTGTAAGTTGTTGAAACGTAGCTAAACGTTTGACCGGTTTCAAACTTTGCGCAAGAACTGCATTAATATACAACAGGGTGTGCAAACGGACGCAACATGTAACATCCAAAAATGTTGGGAGTTGTTGGCCAAAAATGTTGCTTCGTTTGTAAGGGGGCTTAACAGAACAACATTTGCTGGAATCTACGTAAATAGTGATACGTACCTGAAGCAGATTATGCCGTTTTGGTCTTAGCTTCCCTTAGCTTACGAGCAAGCGGACGAATCATAGCGATTAACCGGGGATAGGGTCGGAAGAGCCGGGATCGTTACCTAACTCTCCTCAACCCCCACCCTGTAAGAGTGTGCTCACGGGTTTGGTGACTGTAATGATCACCGCACGGTGTATACACCTATTTCAATAAAGGTTGCTTTGGGATTTGGTCATTGAAACACAGAATACAATGCAATGCTTTGCTTGAGTGACCACCAAACAATAGCTTTCGAAGATCAAAGCACGATTCCCAAAGCAACCTTTATTGAAACAGGTATATTTCTAATTTTACAATAACTGAGCGAATCCTCGCGTCCTGATTGGTCGAGAGCTATGGTCAATGAGAGTATAGACCATGGAAATGACGTAACATGTCACGCAGTGCCGGTTGTTTTGTGTTTGGTTTTTCGTAAAAAAATAACTGTTATTGTAAAAAACAAATCGACCACAATTTTCCATGGTCAACTTTCTTATAGACCATAGAAATGACGCCATAAAATGTTCACAATTTTGCAGTGAAACCACTCGCCTGCGGCTTGTGGTTCCACTTGAGTTTTGAACATTTTATGACGTCATTTCTATGGTCTATAACAGTGTAGGCCATGGAAAATTGTGGTCGATTTGTTAAAGGTACGGCGTTTGATGACAGTTTTGTTTTTTTTTTTGGTTCACCCGCCCTTGTCTAAAAGAGAACGTTAACTCGATTTGAAATGACGGATAATAAATCTGACTAAGGGCCCGATTTTTTCCACCTCAAATTTTAACCGCGTAGGGAACTCACCATTTTATCCCCCAATGATTAATTAATAATAATTAATTAGACTTGATCTGGCATCTGCGATACCCAAGCGGCCGAAAAATTAGAAGCATGTCAATTGAAGAACGAACGTGTTGTGAATATTCGCGCGTTGGTGTCTCTCCACACGCGTGTCCTCAAACGACTGCGTAAGCCTCGCCGACTAATTTCAGGCTTTAAGATCGTTTAATGCTCTTTAGTTGGCTTTGGATGATTATCTACCAGACAGATTTCCGTCTTGGTGCAGTTACACCCCCTATATATTATTCATAAAGTAATTCATAGAATACCATATGCTGTTTTCTTTTGTATCATAGTTAGGATTCTACGAAATATTATTGTCAAGAATTATTTGCTCTAAGTACACATAACATTAAATTACACGACATTTGTGGAATGATGAAACGTGTTGCTTTATCTTTAATTTACCTATCAAAATTGTATACGTTAGGTTAGAAAAGAATCTTATGAGTTTCTAATTAGTTGTTATTTTGTCGTTTATTGACCCACTTACACAGTGGAATTTTTTATTTTTTTTTCGAACTCGAGTTCGAGACGCAAAACAGGAGAAAGTGTTCGTGCTAGCGTGTCTGCGATTTCACAAAGGTTTCGGACTCGCTCAACGTTTTATCACTATTTGGAAAATTGCACTAAATTAATATAATTATTGCGCTCAGGGGCTCACTGAAAATCTCATTGAATTTGCCGCTAGTTTCCATTGATAGCCGGAGTATTTAAAACATGGAGCGCAAGTCTTGTAAGAGCGACACGCGCGCTAGGGTTCACCGAGGATTTCAGCGTAGACTATGGGTCCTCACTCCATTGTATATTTATTGACGAGATCCTATAGTGTGAAAAATTAAACAAAACCTTTCACATGGTACTATTTATTTAGTCTGTATAGAAATTCTAAGTTTGAAGTCTGTAGAAGAAATCTTATGGTGACCATTCAAAAAAATCTTCGTCCGCACGACTTTTACGTGGTACTATTTATTTAGTGGGTAGTTCTAACTTTTAAATCTGTGAATGAAATCCTATGGCCTGACTATTCAAACGAAACCTCTTCAGCAGTACTTTCACATGGTACCATTTATTTAGAATGTAGTTCTTGAGTCTGTGAATGAAAGTCATTCACCATTCAAATGAGACTGTTTGGGCTTAATCAGCAGTTCTTTTGCCTTGTGCTTTCTGGTTTTCTTACATTTTAACTGGGGGCACACATGGGAGTTAAAGGGTTAAGATAATCGGTTTAAAGAAATTCTAAAGATTACCTTGATAAGCCTCCTTAACTCTTAACTGTGTTTTCCTTTCATTACTGGGAGCATTCTCGATCTTAATAGGGTGTCAGTGTTACGACAGTTAAGTGATACCCCAGACTTCAAGCATGCCGTAAAAGGGGTCCGCCACATAGATTGATTTCTTTTTCTTTTTTTTTTCTGTTAAGAAACATCGCCGAAAACGCGGAAATATTTTACTGGCTGTACTTATGTCGCTTCGACTTCCGCAACGCGCGGTCTTCTCGCACACTAAAACGTTTCGCGTCACTTCGGTAAACTAAACATGTTATTTTAAAGATTTTTTAGGGTAGGGATGTAGCTAGGAAGCACATTTTTCATATTAACCCTACCCCTTCTTCCAAACCGTTTCCACGCCGGTAACGTAATGAAATTTTCTTTTTCTTGTCAGTGAGTAAACATCTCCCTCAGTCTTTAAGCAGTATTTAGGGCTTTATGTATGGCAAAATCGAGGAAAACACTTCCTTTTGCTATGAAAAATTCGTGTCTCGCTGAAGTTAAAGCGGTGTTATCATTATTAGTTATCAATTATTAATTCCACTTCTTAATTTACTATTTTTCTTTCTTTTTTTTTTCTCTTTTTGCCAGGCAATTAAGCACGTGCAGTGCGTCATGGCATACAGGTAGCTACGCCCCTTGAGGGAAGAAAACTGTTTTCCCTAAAAATTTTCGAGTTTCCAAAAACTCACTTTCAAAGCAGAAGA